TTTCTATTAGCTTCAGATCTTGATCAAAGTTAGGCACCCAGTTCATATGAGTGCTTATATTGATTTTCTGACATCTTGTTTTCTGTAAAGATTTTATTGGTAGGTTTGCAAATGTGTATCAGACTGTGCAATCTCTCCATGAGTTGGTTTTGAAACCCAGTATGGGATTCTGAGATACATTACCAAGGATATTATTACAAGATAAATCATTTGCTTCATTGACCATACAACAATGCATATTTCCACTGAGATCAGTGACCTTTGATGTGTATCACCAGTGATCAGTCAAGTAGAAACAGTCAAAATATTTTATCAGATTTTCTCAATTTTTGCATGATATTTTCAAACAGGACATATGTTGTTCAAACTCAGGGACGACTTTATACTGATGAATAAGGTGACCAAGTTTGATAAAGTTTGGAATAGAATTAGTAAAGTTATTATGCACACAATATCAATTATTAACGACGACGACAACGACGACGACAACGACGGACAAAATTTTTCCCTTAATATACCTTTCCCTTCTATCTTTGATGGTACGGGCAAGGTAAAAATTACCTGCTACAATTTCGCCAGCGGTTCAAGCATGGCTGACTATGCAATAGTTTCAAAGACGCTACACAGCAGCATCCAATATTTTAAGGTACATGAGATTACTCACCTGTCTGATCGCTGTGCCATTTCGTTAACAATGTCAACAAGACAATTATTGTCACCTGACAATGATAATGATTTAATATGTACTGCAATACCAGACAAATATTTATGGGACTTGGGATACAAGGCAGGATAGTGTCATTTAATTGTAAAATGAAGACAGTGATACTGCAGTTACAGAATTAACTGACATTATGTGTTTTGCAGCTGATAAATCAGTGAAAAAATACACATAGAATGCCACGTAAAAATAAATGAATACACAACAAACAACAAAACCCACAACAATGGTTTGATGAGTTTTGTTGGCAGTTGAGAAAGAAATTTAAAGGTACTGTAGTGGAGACATGTCCAAATAATTTCTACATTAGGGGCCAGTTTCCAGATAATCTCTACATTAGAGGCCAGTTTATGTTAATGAGGGAAAATATAACAAAGTTATACAAATTTAAACAAAAAGTTATATAAGCAAGACTTGTGGGATGAAATTGTTTCACAGAAAGCAAATCAAAATAAATGTTGGCAGAAATTCAAAATATTCGCAAAAATAGAAAGTGCCAAAAATGAAGATGTAATTAAACCAGACACTAGGTTGAATCACTTTAGAGACCTGAATAGCATGCAAAATAATAACAAATTTGATTACCGGTTACAAGAAAAAATTATAAATGAAACTAGAGATATGGAAAATAATTTAGAAAGTACTGAAGTTTTAAACAAACCTATATCGATAAAGTTAAAACTGTTCGTTTCTGTGCATGTCACTGTTCGTCTCAGTCCATGTCACTGTCCAGGTCACTGTCCATCCCTGTTCAGGTCTCTGTACGTCTCTGCCCATGTCACTGCCCGTCTCTGTCTGTCTCTGTCCATGCCACTGACCGCCTCTGTCCATTTCATTGTCCGTCTCTGTTCATGTCACTGTCCATCTCTGTCTAGGTCACTGTCGTCTCTGACCAGGCCACTGTCCGTCTCTGTCCAAGTCACTGTCTGTCTCAGTCCATGTCACTGTTCGTCTCTATCCATGTCACTGTCCATCTCAGTCCATGTCACTGTCTCTGTCGATGTCACTCTACGTCTCTGTCCATGTCACTGTCTTTGTCCATGTCACTGTCCGTCTCTGTCCATGTCACTGTCTGTCTCTGTCCATGCCACTGTCCATCTCTGTCCATGTCACGGTCTGTCTCAGTCCATGTCACTGTCATTCTCTGTCCATGTCACTGTCCATCTCTGTCCATGTCACTGTCCGTCTCTCTCCATGTCACTGTCCAGGTCACTGTCTATCTCTCTCCATATCACTGTCCGTCTCTGTCCATGTTTCTGCTCATGTCACTGTCCGTCTCTGGCCATGTCTCTGTCTGTCTCTGTCCATGTCACTGACCATCTCTGTCAATGTCACTGTCCGTCTCTGTTCATGTCACTGTCGTTGTCCATGTCACTGTCCGTCTCTGTCCATGTCACTGTCCGTCTCTGTCCATGTCACCGTCAGTCTCTGTCCATGTCTGCCCATGTCACTGCCCGTCTCTGTCTGTCTCTGTCCATGCCACTGACCGCCTCTGTCCATTTCACTGTCCGTCTCTGTTCATG